CTTTAGAGTGATAAGCTACTAAGATGGTCTTTACTTGCTGGGATGAAGAGGGAAGTTACTTCTTTTTTTCCTTTCCTTTTTCCTTTTCACACTTTTTTCTTTTCTTTTGTATTTTTCTGCTTGTATTTTTTGTAGCCAGTATTGCCTTTATTACTTTCATTTATAATTCTTAATAAAATTATTTGAAAAAAGAGAACCAGCCTTTCTGGCAGAAAGGAAGCTGGACGGTCTGCTGAGAGAGCAGCTATGCTCCCAACTGGGCTCCCCACGCTCAAGGGCCACAAGAGGGCCAAGCACTCACGTGTTATTGCTGGGGTTTTTTCTCCAGGACTCAAACCAGGAGGAGGCTAGGTGCTGGCACTCAGAGACGCCGTAGGAGCAGGCTGTGTTGATGGCTAGGATCTCATTGTACCTGAAGGAGGGAGGGAGGGAATCCAGGGAGATTAATTCAAGAGGAGGGACCCCCTCCCCCTTCCTCTCTAAATGCCTTCCCAGACAAAAGTCTCAAAGCTCTGCTCCCCCCCCCCGCCGCGCATTCCCTCCTCCAAGGAGACTCACTGATCCATCAAGCCAGCTGGGATTTGGGTCCAGTTGGCAGTGAGGTTCTGAAAGTAGTTGAACAAGGGGGTGACCTGCTTCTGGATGTATCTCTGCAATGGGAAGAGTAAGGTCCAACTGGAGTCTCTTGGGATGAAGATGGAGACCAGCCCCTCCCCCCCCACCTCCCCGGATCCCCTCCACTGTGGAGGGAAGGGAGAAGGAAAAGGGGACAGGCAGCTTCCCACAGGGGACAGAAGGGCTGAGACCCCCTCCATCAGCAGTTTGGGCCGGAGGCCACACCTGGAGGAGGTCGCACCTGCATAGGCCTATAGACTTCACTGCGATCAAACATGAGTCGGAAGTAGTCCAGGTTGTCCAGGGCCGCGTCCCAAGGAAGATACTCCATCTCATTGGCCAGGTAGCGGGTGGTGTTCAGGGCCAGGTCTGTGCCGACGTGCTTGGCTCTGAAAGATCAACAGAGTGACTGTGGGGCTGGCTTCCCTCTCTGCCCTCCAGGACCCCAGACTCACTCTTGGAGCCTCAAGGAGGGGGCGAATGCTTAGCCCAAGGGAGGGTAACGTTGCGGAAGAGAGTGCCTGCACCGATGCAGCAGCCTCCCACAGAGAGGCTCCCAGTCTCTCCTGCCTTGGGAAAATCCCCGAATCAGGCTGGTGTCCTTCAAGCCCCAGAACTGCTCGGAGGGGGGCGCCTCCCTCAGAGGGCATTTGGGCATAGTGTGGTTGGCAGCCTTAAGCACTTGTCTCCTGTGTGGATTCCAGCTGGAAATCAAGCTGGCCTAAGGAATTGCTGTCTGGACTGCCAACGCTGGCAAGCCATCCCTTTCAAATGGAGCCCGGATTCCCCTGCCTCAGCACCCCTCCCACCAGGAAAGCAAGCACCAGTTGACTTCATTTCTGGGGCTGGTCTTCGGGAATACGCGGTTCCCACTGGTGTGAGTGGTCATCGGATCACAGAATCGTACAGCTGGAAGAGGTCTTAGAGGTCATCTAGTCCGACCCCTTGCTGGATACGGCAGTTGCTTGCTCATGATGACCCCCCCCCCCATCATTCTTGCTATCACTTGAGCTACAAGGGAAAACTGGCAATTTTCAGTTTTCAGTCAGTCTCAATCCAGCTCTCGCACTCAGTCGAAAGAGATGCCCATTAGGAGAGCTTCCACAAGCCCCAAATCTCCCTGGATTCCAGCACCGGAGGGCTGGGCAGTGCAGCTGGCTGCGAGAGACAGGGCAGAACCATGGGTTGGCTTGCCTCCTGCCTCATTATCTCAGCCAGCCGCAGGCAGACCCCCCTCCCTCCCGCTCCTTGCAGCTGCCCTTCCCCATAGCAGCCACCCCCACCTCTGTCCCTCTGCTGTGTACCTGCTTTTAGGTCACTTATGTGGGACCAGTTGAAAAAAGAGAAAGGAAAGGAAACGGAAAGGCCGCCATTTTACCGGTCACCATAAAATGGTTTAACGGATTGGTTAAAAAGCTTTGGTTAAAAACCGGCCAGAAAGCTGGTTACCAACTCAGCAGCCTGGGATGTGATGGCCCTGGAGGGGGGTGACCAGAGAGGAGGGGGCCTCCTGCCACACTCACAGCCAACTGGAGATGCAGCTTTGAACCAAATGAAGCACAACCGACAGGCAATGCAAAGGGTGGAAGAAATGGCTTTGGATGTGGAGCAAGAAAGGGCAGAAGAAGGTTTCCGCCCTTCAAGGCGGGGGAGGGGCAGGGGGCAGAGGACAGCCTGCATCCGGAGCTCTGGCATCAGTGAATGGCCAGCCTTGCATCTGGGCAAGCAAAGTTTGGGTAAGCCCTAGGCGCCTGGGTAGGCTTGGGAGGCAATCTGGCTGCGATTCTCCTCTCCCAACACCAGGGGGAGATGAAGGGATTCTCACCTGGCCAGGTTGAAGGCATCATCAATGATCTGGGCACGGTTTAGAACCGGGATCTCCTGCAAAACAGCAGAACAGTCAGAGAAACTGAATCAGGCGTTAGCAGGCTGTGGGCAAGGGGAGAACCCCAGAAAAGACTCTTTGGCTTGCAAGCTCAACTCCTTCCTCGTGACCGTTGCCAGTTGTGATGTACTGATGGCAGACTGCATCGAGGGCTTCCATGTGAGACTGTAGAGCAGGGGTTCTTAACCTGGGGTGCCCACACCTCAGAGGGTGCGAGATGGAATTTCAGGGGGTGCGACAAAGAGTCATGAGTCATCACTCAGCCAGCTGCCAGTATGTCTCGAGTACCACATCTTCAAATGTGATATTATTTTTGTAGGGGGTGCAAACATTAATCAAACATCTCCTAAGGGTGTGGGGCATAGAAAAGGTTGGGAACCACTGCTGTAGAGAGAGGGCAAACTCTGATCCAACAGCGGGCTTGGAAGAAGGGATCCAAAGCTAGCTCAAGCATAGCCAATGAAAGACTCTTCTGGAGAAGCTCGTTGGGGGTGGCTTGGGAGGCACATAGGAAGGGCAAACAGAGGCTGCCTAAGCCCAGATGCTGTGGGACAAGGAAGGAGGAAGGTATCTGGCTCGGGGGGGAAAACAAGCATAGCTGCCACCTCCATGCGTCCCCAGCTTCTCTTGAAGGCCTCTTGTAGGTCTTCCCTTGCCATGGGGCCTGGAGATCACATAAAGCAGCAGCAGCAGCAGCAGCAGCTCTGCTTCACCCTAGCCATTTCTAGGACCAGATGGAGCACCTGACAGCCTACCTGGGGATTCTGATTCAGCTGCTTCATGAGCCTCTCCCAGTTTTCCAAGTCATAGTTTACCCGGAAATAGCCCGTGACATTAACATTGAGTAGCAGCCACTTGGCAGGGTCAGCAGAAGTCTTGAAGTTGTCATACACAGCTGCAAAAAAAGAGGAGAGGTTGTCCCACTCTTCTGCAAGAGCTGCCACTCTCCCCTTCAGGGCCTCCAGGTGACTCTTAGACATTTTGTACCATTTCACACATACAACACTGATGACCCCCTCCCCAGATTCCCATTTTGAAGGTCAGGAAGAGGAGGCCACCAAGTTTCCCCCTTGGCAACAAGGAAGGTGTCTTTGTCTTTCACTGGCAGCAGATCAAGCCAGGGCAGGACGTGTGCGCACACCAGCGGCCCTCTTGGTCCAACTAGCAAAAGCTGCCTGGACAGCCTTAGCTAAGTGCCTCAAACCTCCTAAAATCCTAAGCACGATCTTGTAATTTCGTACAAGGTGGTACAAGTAAATGGTACCTGATGTGTTCGTGAGCCAGTAGAGGTCTCCCTTCTTTCCACCACTGATCCAGGAGACAGGAACAATCCAGGTGTAACTGCAGGAAACAGGCTGTCAGATGAACAGCTGCCCTCCCTTGTCCCTGCTCTCACCTCTTCCTTGGCTGGGCTACACGACCCGCCTCTGCCCAACAGCAGGGTGTGGCTACATAACCAGGGATTGCACGTAAACCAAGATGACCCACTCCCTCCCCTGCCTCTGGGCAAGGGCCTTTCCATACAGAGCTCTGGCTCCAGCCTCTCTGAAGGCCGTGCTCAAAGCTCCTCACTTACTTGAACACCGAGGGTCGCTCAACAGGAGTTCCTGGGTCCAGCAGAAAATGTTTTTGGGTTACGATGCCTGTGAAGGTATTAACGGTGAGAACTGGGAAGCCCATCTGCAAGGTCCAACGGTCCATGATGGTCTTGATGGTAGCCGGGAGATTGTTTTTCTCATCCACCGCCTGTCCCAGAAGCATCAAAATGACCCACATTTGAGACACTGGCTTCCGACTCCAGTATTCTGCAAGCCCTAATCTGAATACTTAGATTTCCTGGTGGGGAAATACACGCTCTGCCCCATGCCTCCCCAGGCAGCCTGAAGTTGACTGAGGCCAACTGCCGGACAGTTCCCACTGGCCTTTGAAATGCAGCTCCTCTCTGCTTATGCCATATAACAGATCTCTTCCTCAACTGGGCAGGGGAGATGCTAGCTGTTGGCAACATGGGCACAGGCCCACAGAAGGAAAGGGGAGGCCCCTGGAGTTGGGCAGACACGGCAGCCTGGAACTTCAGAGGAACTACCTGAGTAAGATGGGGTACCAAGAGTTCAAGAACCACAGCCACTGCAAGGCTGTTGAACTTGCACACCCAACACGTGCTTGGGACCTAGTGCTTCTGTCACTTTTTAATGTGAGCTCAAAAGAAAGACGGGTAGGGAAGGAGCTGGAGAGGAAGAGAGCCAGGGGCCTTCGCAGCTGGGTGGCTTCCTGGTGACAAGGAGACAGGGTTTGTGGAAGGGTTCCCAAGGGTGGGTTTGCAGAGGCTCTGAAGGAGGGGAGAGGTGGCTTCGGGCAGGGGCTCTGAGATGGGGTTCCAACCTGAGGACACAGCAGGGCAGCCTCAGGTGGCTGAAGCTGACCGGTCATGAGGATGGGAATGGGAGTCAGAAGGGAAGGCAAGGCGAGAGGCCACCGTGGGTGTCGCTACTAGCCATAGTTGACTTCAACAGATCAGTAAATGCAAAGGGAAAATCTGGGATTGGAGGGTGTGGGGTAGGCTGGCCTGCTCATGAGTTTGGGGAGAGGATCCATTGCTAAAACCTGCTGACACCACCACTGAAGAAGGAATGGATGTGATAGAAAACATCCTTCCATCTCTATGGAAGAAACTAGAATAGACTTTAAAACATACCATCTGCAGTTTTTCCCAGAGGTTATCACAAATAGTATTTGAATATGCGTAGGACTGGAAGTATAACTGTGGAGAAAAGAGAGTCAGGTGAGTAGCCTTCTGAGGCTCAGGAAAACTCCAGGCTCCCTTTTGTGGCGGAGTGGGGGGAGGCAACTGGCTCTCTTGGGGACCTGAATCACTCTGGCTAGCTTCTCTGGCTTTGCGACCATCCTGTTTCCCAACATCGCCAGAGACCATCCCGCAATCAGGGCAGGGATGCAGGGAGGGAGCTGGGGAGGGAGGGAGCATGGGCAAAGCACTGGCCCACTCCCAAAGCTCTCAACCCGGCACCCACCCAGACGTTGGGGGAGCTGCCTGGTAAAACACTCCCAAAACCTGACAGCCGCAGCAGAGGAAAATGCCCAGGACCCCAGGAGAGGCTTGCCCACACCGGCTTGAAGGGTCCCAGAGGTGCTGCACCCCGACAGAGGTGACCTCTCTGTGGCACTGTCAAAATATTTGGTGAAGCGTGTAAGATTGTACACATGTTGGAATTGCTGCTGGCTACTTGTACGGCTGCGTGTCTCCCTGACGAACGAGGACGAGACAAAAGCAATGATGGGGGAAATACAGACACGGGGGTGCCAGGGCTAGAGGCCGTGGAAAAGGTTCTTTGCGCATCCCACCAAAGCGCAGGAAATCCCAGCCCGAAGGCTGCTGGAGGGCTCAGCAGGGTGGCAAGATGAGGCCGTGCTGCAGCTTGGCCTCTCCTGAGTGAGGGACTGCTTGGAGGTTCAGCTGCGGGATCCGGCCTTCTACACCGCTCCAAAGGGCACCATGATGCATGGCACCGTGGGGGGGGGGTCACAGTTTGGGCTTGCGCACCGGTCAGCGAGAGAAGGCGAAGGCAGCCCTTACGTGCAGGCCCTCCTTGAACACGTCCTCGGTCAGGAATTCCGAGAGCATCCGGAGCACAGACGCCCCCTGCAGGGAGACAAGATGCTG